AGTACTCTGAACTCAAAACAAGGAAGAGAACTGACATTTATAAATCACATATACCATTGAATTAAACCTAAGAAACTTAAAAATACATTGCAAACCATTGACATTGCAAACCTGTCACAGAAACCAGTTAAAACTGTGACAAGGACAAAACTGTTGTCAACCTGGCATCTAATGAAGCACTGAAATTCTGCAACGGTGCGCCAACAAAATGACATTACGTAGATAATGTAATTATTGAGACAGGATGTCAGTTTGACATTCAAGTGCCATATTAAAGGGATGTCAGTTCAGTTGCACGAGTCCAAACAAGCTGATCTATGTGTATTTAAATGTTTACAGACAGCGAGAACCATAACAGAACTTCAGTTTATACATTTTACTCACTGCAAGGAAAACAAAATAAGTGGCACTTTATCTTTTTAAGCTACGTATTCCAGATTACGTAGCTTGAAGGAAACGCTTTATGGAGGGCACAATTACACTTCAAATTTCAGCCAATTGAGTCCATTGGACAAAAAAATAAATAAATGGAACTGAATAATTCTCAAAGTAAATAATATTTTCAAGCATTTTAAAGAGATACAACAAGCCTGAACTAAAACAGAAGGGTTCATCATATCCGTAGGTTTTTTTTTTTTTAATCCACCATTTATTCAACGTGGACCTTAAAGACCAACATGGGATCTTGCATCTCAACAAATCGGAATATTACCATCTTAATTTTTTTCAGTGCTTAAATTCAATTCAAAAGTGAAACTCTTAATGATTCATTAAGAATAATTAAGATTCTTAATGAATCTTAATGAGCAGGGTTCAAGTCACCATTCTTCCACAAAAAATCAAACATGTCTGCAATACAGATAATTATTTAATCACATTTTTGAAGTAATATTTTAATTTTTAAGAAACTGAATTCTGGATTTTCACTACTTACTTAGAAATCAAATTTCTGAGTGTAAATAATCGTCTATTTTTTTAAATGAATTTAGGAATTAAGTAGACATTTGGTTTTACCTAAAATTTGATCAGATCGGAGCCAATACTCCCACAGGCAGCGAGAACATTTCAGCAACAAAGCAGAACAAAGTGCTTTACATTGGCCTGTCACGATAAATAATTTTGCTGGACGATAAACTGTTCCAGACGTTATTGCGATAAATGATAATATTGTTGTTTTGAGACCATTTTTAAGAAATGTAACGGTAATGGTGAGATAATAATGCAAGAACGCATTCTAAAAGATCAGTACATTTTACATTTTAATTAACATTTAATTTAAAAAGAGAAATGATAAATCATGCCAAAGGAAATTATTGAACTTGTTTTAATTTATTATCTGATAATTTATTGATTATTGTGACAGGTCTAGCTTTACATGATAAAAACATAACCCAATATAGACAATGATACTGTGGAAAAAGAGAAGTATTGGAAAGTTTCTATCCAGAGAACAGAAACTATCAATGTTCTTGTTATTAATTAAAGGAAACTCTTCTCAGTGTTTTCCCATTGACAGCCGACTCAGATGAGATTATCAGCTATTGAGCTCCTCTTGCATCTGCCAACCAGAGCACAGACTGATGTCATGCTCTGCTCACCTGTGCACCTTATCGCAATTTGATATAGTGGAGAAGGTGAGCAGGGTGGCTGCATTTCAGCACCCCATAATACAAAATTGATGATGACATACACCATAAACCTTCGCCGTGATGATACACTGCTGCAATATAGGCTGGTGATATGAAATGTCTCACAGATCCAAGATCAGTTAAGGGAAACAAAAGGCAGTAAAACAGTCAGCTGCAAACTTGGCATTATAGCAGATAAAAGTCTTTTTAGCAAAGATTTTACTTGTCAGTGAATTAGCAGACGCTGGTAGGAGATTATGTTTTTAAAAATGCTTTGTAGATATTTAAATTAAGTCTAAAATATATCTCAAATTCAGAGAGTTGATTCCTTACAACTCTTGTGGGTCGCTCTCATAGCCTTATCATCCAAGACTTAAGTTCAAGAGTGCCGTCATTTGGATAGTTCACTGAGAACAAAAAGATAAATCTGAGTATCATCTGCATAGGATGATCATGTTATGCCAGTGAATCATATGACCTTAAGGTTAAATATGCAAGGTGAATTATAGAGGAACAGTGACAAAGCCCTGTTGGACCCCACAAATTGTTTGAGTAGAGAAACGCTCGAAAAGGTAGAATATAATAGAATTAAATATAAGGTGCTTATTGACACTGTATGCAACAAGCCTTGCTGGAAGCACAACTAAATTAGTATGACTACATTTGGGCATTTCTGTTAAAAGTATTTAACATTCCCAAGCTGCATTTTCTGTTGAATACTTTGGAAATGCTAAAAAAAAAAATAAAAAAATTAAAATTAAAATTAAATTAGCGAACAAGCAAATTTTCCACAAAGACTATGAAGATATGTTCCACAGAAAAATGTGTGAATAGCTGGGGCTGTAAATTCTTATCTAACCTTCGAGAGATGAACTGTACTCAACCGATTACTACTTTTGAAAGATTCTTGGAAAACAGAGAAACAAACATGAACAAAGTTCAAGTAGTCTGAGGTTATGATGTAGTTAAGGACTACGCTCAAAGACAATGCATGTCAACAGCTGTAAAAGCAATGTACACTGATTTATGAACGAAATTATTTGTAATCCCTCACACATTCTTGTTTATGATGTTGAGAAGTTAATGATACAGAAGATATACGTATAAACCGCCAATTGGCAATATTTTACTTTAAACAGTTAACCGTTTTACAATAACAATTTAAAGTCCTATCTTTATAGCTTGTCTTTTTCTAATGTTTTAATCTCAGTTATAATTAACTGTAATATTATTTTTTATTTACTTATATTGCTTTATGTTTTTATTGCACCAATGTTTTGATTTTGAACTGTAGGGTTTTTTTATATTGTTTTTTTATTGGAACATATACTATACTTGTATACAGCACTGTGTGACTATTGCTAAAAGGAAAACCAAGTTATTTTTGACTTCATAAAGTTTTGTTATTTTCCTTTTCGGACTGAGCAAGAACGCACAAAATGAGGCATGTGTTTAGGCAGCAGAGGTGTTAGCTTAGCACAGCTTACAAGTGACCTGCAAAAATTGACTGCACTGCATGTATTATCACAACAGCAATTACACAAGCAGCATTTCCATCTGCAAGAAAGAGACTGACACATTTTTTTTGTTTTTGACCATCTCCATAGTAATATGCCTGTATCCAGCTGGCTGTTCTTAAAGCTAGCATACCTCGATCCAGACGATAAAACATAAAATCTTTTGCAAAACCTACAACTTGATGCTGTGGCGAGTGTCTGATTTAAAAGAAGAGCATTGGTATCAAACTATAGTCCTCATTGTCCTGCAACTCGTTCATGTTTCTCTGCTGCAGACACCTGGCTCAAATATTGGCTCATTAGCAGAGCTTTGTGGAGCTTCACTGCATGCTAGTGAAGGATTTTTGTCAATTTAAGTGTATAGGACACACAAGTTGGTGACCATAGAGATTGAACAGACGGTGGTAGAGACGCTGTTGACCAAGGAGTCGCTTTGGTTCTTTATGTTTTGCTGATTATATACACCATTAGGTATATTACTACTCCTTGCTGCATTATCCACTAAAACCTGATCCCTATTTGCTACAGAGGGTTGAAGTTTTAACTTCCAACATGATGTAAACATATACAGTATACCATTCATTATCTTTTTTTTTAAAATCCCTGTTAGGAAATGGATGTGCTTTATTATTTCAATTTGGATTTGCCGGAACATAAAATAGTTTTTAAAATTAACATAGTCTGTTCTTTAGACTTCTGTATCAAAAATGTACCAGTGACAACATGCTTAGTTAGCTAGAGAAAGGTCTCAATTCTATCAACAATGAAATCTACAACTTGTCCTAATGTATAATTTAAAAATGCAAGGTAAAATTATTTTATTTGGTGGCAGAATTTTGTTAATGGTTATTTTTAAAATGACCGAAATTCATATTGTACACTAACCAATATGACCTTTGGAAAAATAAAACAACTATTACCAGTTAAGTTATATTTGTTTTTCACATTAAAATTTTTTTTTCCTTGAATGTTTTAGGCCAAAATCCAAAAGATTTTTGGAAAATTACAATTTAGATGGGATTTTGGTTATACAAGTTTCAATGTAATTTGATGTCGTATAAATCTAAATTTCTTTGTTGCTTATGTCTTATGCAAATACTTCATGATGATGATGATGATAAAAAAAATCATTGCAGAATTAAAATTACAAATGCTGATCTTGATTGCTTTTTCTTTTTCTCTGTTGTTTCAATGTTTATTTTGACATACAACATTTGAAAACCTCACAAATACCCATTAGGAGGTGCATTGTGGTATTCTAGATAAATGTATAGCATGCCATATACTCTTCGTTACCATCTCTGCAGAACAGATACAGAAATACTGTTACGTTACATGGGAGTATTGTTATAAGCAGTTTACAAAATGATGTACGGCAACGAATAACATCAGGCTGTAAAGCAAACGTCACATGGCCATAATGAGACACTCAAATGACTGAGTCCGCAAACTTGTCATTAGCTTGTTACAGCCAGATTAGTTCATCTGGGACCAGACCAAACACTTTGTTTCACTTGTGATTAGTTCAATATTCTTGTCAGGTTCACTAACGGTAGCTAAGTCACTCGGAAGTGAAGTTATTTGTCCAGGATTTATTTAGGAAGTAGTGTACATGTACGCTAACATCTATGCACAACACGGTTTATTTAGCCATGGCCAAATAGTTGGAGGAATTTGGCGTTTCTGTGCTAAATATCAATCCGCTGAACTCCCCTCTACTCCACTTCACTTCACGCTGCTCCCTTTGCTCACAGGCCTACTTTGCTGGTGTGTTAATGTGAGCTAACGTTAGCTAGCATGCTAATGTTAGCTCCTCTTTGGGTTGTCAAACTCGAGCTAATGATATGCTACTTACCTTTTCTCCTGCGCTGTGCGAGTGAAGTTCCAATCCCGGCTATGTGGCTTCGATACAAGTTGAAGATATGTTGTTATCCAAGCTACCCGCAGAAGTGATGTTAGCCAGCTAGCTGAGTTAATGTTTCCTTATTCAAGAAAAAAAAAAAAGATAAATCGAGATTGGCCTCAGTTGAGCGGCGGTAATTCGTTTCTCGGCGGTTCCCTGCTTGGACAGCGTTGATTTTTACGCATGTTGGACGCCAGCTCTTGTCTCTCACAACAGGTGAAGACAAACCGCGATCGCCCCAAAACAAAATATGGAACCTGAGAGTTGGTTATAGTATTATACAACACTGACAAATCTAGCACTTTCTTCCATTGAAAGGCCAGAGCTATCCTTCGACTTTGGGTGCTGAACAAGAGGAGGTGCTATTTTTGGCATCTCCTTTGTGATTGGTTGAAACCTCTGGGCAAAACAACGTTTAATTGGCTGAATCTCATGTCAGTTAGTTCTACCCCTCGCTATTTCACATTTTCATTGGTCTATTACAAACTTCTTGTGTGTGAGGGAAATGTGGGATGCGCTCGTAACATTTTCGTGCGTACGCCGGAGGATCTCTGAAGGGGCGGAGTAAACCTTTAAACTGTAGCTTTCTACTTCGAGGCCGAAGTCGATTAACCTCATGATGTTGGTCATAAACGAAAACATGTATGTAACACACCACAGGCGTTTTAGAGAAACATTCGATTGTTTTTTAAGCTTGAAAGTTGTTTTAGAAAAACTCCCCGTCCTGAAGTAAATAACTAGCGTCCGATCACTTAAATGCAGCATGGATTGTATAAGAGGTTTGAAAGTGAGTCTCCCTCCACCAGTGGTAATGGTTAAACCACAAAATGTGTTTTAAAGAATCTGTAGTAAGTAATAATTAAATCCATGTTTGTTCCGGTTTGTATAATGTGCTTTTCACATTTATTTATATCTATAATATTACTAATGCAAAACAATACACATAAATAAAATATTAAAACCTGGTGAAAAAGGAATTGCCCCTAAGCGTAATAACTCATGTCACAGTTGACGCCACAACTGATTACTTGACTGAGTTGTTTGCATATTTGCCCACTTTTCTTTTCAGAATTATTTTTAATTCAGCGACATTGGAGGGTTTTCAAGCTTGAAGGGACTGTGTAAAGTCATGCCAGGCGATGTTAATCGGATTTAACGCCGTAGTTTGAGTAGACCACCGGAAAAACTGTTTTTAAGCCACTCAGAGGCGAACTTGCTGGTCACAAACTGATTAGGGGGGCATTTTTCTTCAAGATTTTCTCCTGGAGAGTAAATATTTACGGATACATCCATAACAGCAAGTCAGGTTATTAAGAAGCACAAGCCTCAGACCATCACATTTAGCCAGTATGTTCTTTTCCTGAATGCTGCCAGTTTTGCTGCAAATGTAAGAGGACATCAAACCTTTCAAAAAGTCCCTTTTTGTCTCATCGGTTAACAGAATATTTTCCTAAAAGTCTTGGAGATTATCAAGATGTCTTTTTTGGTGTGTGTTGTTGTTGTTGTTGTAATCAGGTCTGGTCTGAGTTTTATTTAAAGAACAGGGACTTCTTTGTGTCAATAGGTAACTTTTCATCAGAGTGGACAGAAAGTCACATGTGAGGTTCCCCATGGTTCTATCCTGGGGCCCCTTCTATTTAAAATCTACATGCTTCTGGTAGCTCAAATTACAATAAATAATAAGAGATACCTTACTTATGCAGACGAATTATGCAACATTACGATGTCATCAGGTGACTATGAACCAAATCAAACGTTAAGTAGATGTATAGAACAAATTGCTATAACTTTCTTATGCTAAACAGAAACAAAACTGAAGTTACAACCTTTGGACCTAAAGAGGAGTCAGCACACAGCTTCAGTTATTTTAGGTCAGGCCAGAAGTCTGGTGTAGTGATGGACTCAGACCTGAAGTTGACCTTCTATCACCTGAAGAACATTTCCAGAATTAAAGGACTAATTTCCCAGGTAGAGAAACTCATCCATGGGTTTATCTTTAGTTACAAAGGAAACTCGCGTTCTCACTCAAACTAGACAAATTGAGCACATTGGCCCAGTTTTAAAGTCCTCACACTGGCTCCATGCAGTTCAGAGAATAGACTATAAATTCCTAAATAGCTTAAAATACTCAGGTCTCCTGGTTCTATTGAGTTTTTATTCTCTTCTAATCTGGAAAAAACTTCCAGGAAACTGCCAAAACACTTGGTATCTTTAAATCAAGGCTAAAAACCTGTTTGTTTGAAGCTTTGATTTGAAGCTTGTCTGGATTACAACTTTTTTATTGCTTCTCTTTATTTCGCCACTGCAAAGTAATGCTTCTTTGTGTTATGTTTTTTTTTTTTTCATGTAAAGCTTGTCTTGACAAAGTTTTTTGTTGTTAAAAAGAACGGTTGAAATAAATCATGTGCTGCATTATAACACTAATGTATGAAGCTGATTTTAAGTGAGAGTTTTATTTCAGATTAGACAACACAAGCAGATGAACTCATGCCTTCAGCCTCCTGTGAGATGGTCTGTATCCCCGAGAATATCCAGAACTTAAAGATCACATACATTTCATTATTGCAAGCAACTTGCAGAAATACATCCTGGACTGAATAAAACTGGGTTGCGCAGATTAAGTTATAATATGAGTGCATGTATAAAGATGTTTTGTAATAGCCCCTGAGTGAAACTGTGTTGTGTGGCCAAAGCGGGGCTTATCCGTTGTCATTTTGTGCTTCTCCCTCAGGATTAGACTTGTGCCTTATTAATGAAAAACTCATCAGATATCAGAACAGCTCCCTGAGGAATGAGTCGGGGTTATGAGACACATGTTAGATAAAGACCTTGAGCGGGTTTATGTGTGTGTGAGCAGAGGAGAGTGGTATTTAATTTTCCAAGATGAGGGATTATCACTGGCAGAATTTGATCATTCCGGCTCTGATCTCAGGATGTTCAATCGCAGCTTATCCCAAATATTAAACTCTCTGTCTTTTGTCCCCCTTTTTCAATCCCAGACACACAAACGTATTTCCACAGATGCTTACGCCGCTCCAATTACCGAGCTTCTCATTGAGTAAAGTGGCCCGCTGAGCCCACCGTCAGGGGTGTGTGCTGTGTGATTGTTCAACCACCTGGTGACCTTTCAGGATCTGGTTGGGGTAACGGGGGGGGGGGGGGGGGGGGCTTCTTAAAGAGGCGGCTAAGGAGAGTAAATTAAAAAAAACACACACACTGGTAAATCTAATCCAGAACACCAACAAGTGGCACACACACATAAAATCTGATGCTTACATGAATCTGGGTGAGCTTAAACACACCACAGCACACCCACCCTGCTGCTAAATGCCCTGTGATTGTGTCTCAGGCAGGAAGGAGAGGGACGTACCAGGCCCTGATCTGCACTCTCATTTTCTGCACCCAGGACAACTGGGTCACATCATTACTGCAATCTTCTGCTTGTTCATTCCCAGCTTTGCAGGGGCTTACAGACACGGATGTGTGCTTAGCAGCTGACGGGCATGAGAGGTTAAATGAAAGAACGCCTTTAAGGAAGATTAAAATGATTGGTAGTGTCTTTGGTTAGTTAGATTTGCAGGATGTGGCAAAAAAAAAGTGAGCAGTCCTCAAAGATTTGGGATTCTTTGGAGAAAGTCCATGTGTGTTATATTGAAGAAAAAAGAAACTCTAATTGAATTAATATCAATAAATCTGATTAAATGAGTTTGTGGAAACTTGTGCAGTTTGATTCTAAGTGTTGATTTTTAGGTTTACATGGTTTTGTTACGTCTACCGCAGGGAAGCTTTAGATGGAGCTACATCGCCCTCTAGTGGTGGTCAACTGGTTTAATTTCTAAGTAGCAGTTCCAACAGATGATCAGCAGGGGGTGCTACTGAGCCGGTGGGGCTGCTACCTTCACATTCAAGGAGCCATTTTGACCCGCACTCCAGCCAATTAAAGCCTGTTTAGAGCAGCAAATGTTACATCAACTTTTGAGAGAATAAAAACTTTAGTTTTTCTAGTATTTTACGTTTAAGTCAAAATGTTTAGGTGAACATTTTTCAGTTCAATCCATCATTTTCAGATGATGGATTAAACAGTTCTCTATAATAAGAAAGCTTACAATCTGCATTATACTTGTCCATAGCTTTATTTCTGACCTGTCTGCTGTGTTTCTTGATCTTTATGATGTATTTGTTGGCTAATGTTCTTTATCAACCTTCTGTTGTCAGTAACAGCCATTAATGACAAATTACATACAAGCTGACTTTTTTTTTTCCACCTATAAGAGGGCTTCTAAATAGGTTTTGTGGAAGATAAAAGAGGTCTGAATACAGAGATATGTCACACTTTTTATGTGTAAAAAAATAAAACAAAATAAAACCAAATATGATTTCCTTTCCACTTCCCAGATACTTTCACTTTGTCAAATAAAATAAACTATAAATAAATTATATCACTTTATTGATTGCAGTAAAACATAAAAAGGTTGCTGTTAGTTCTCAAGATTGTTTTCTACATCAGTAGCTATAAATAACTATACAATATTTTAGGTTTCAGGTTCAAATTTCGGTGATATTTGAAGAAGAACTTCAAATATCATAAATTAAAAATGTTTGGACATGATTATGAATGTATTTTATTAATTATAGGCTCATGTTACATGTCTGTGTATTTAATTATTAATGGAAAATGTTAATACTCGCTTATTAAAGTTCCATGAGTGTCATTTAACTTCATCATTGGCTCCTGATGAGTTCACGTTACCTGGGAGAACTAAGGTTAAAAACTCTGCTCCAGGTGAGGCTCGAACTCACAACCTCGGCATTGCTTTGCTGCATACTGTCATATAAGTACCGCGCGCTAACCGATTGCGCCACTGGAACTTCCGTCGTCACCGGCCGGAAATTGGCTTTAAGAATAATTCCTGACCTCACGCGACATACGTGTGTCCTTCTGTGGCTTTATTTTCTCATCAGTTGTCTCGGGTTGGCAACACAGACCATATAAGGTTGGGGGTTCCGGGTGGTCACACAGTTCAGTGGGGTTTTCTCACAGCTGACTCTGCTGCTGCCTTCAAGTACCAGCTCGAAAATGAAAACTAAAACCGGGAAAAAAAAAACGTTTCTGTCCGCTAGTTTTGATTGGAAATGAGCTTCATGTTAATATCCTTTACTCTGTTTGTGCATTTTTTTTCATTCTTTCTACAAAATGTAAACATTCTTCAGAGATCTTCTTTAGCATATTTCTTATCGACACACTCTGGTCAGAGGTGTGTAGTAATAAGTTATAATAACTCAGTTATATTTCCTTGAAAAAAAAAAACAAAACTTTTAGGAGCATTTTTACTGTACCATGCTTTTTACTTTTACTTGAGCAATATTAGCACGTTACTTGAGCAAAATTTCTGCTGAGTAACTTCACTGAATGAAGAACAAACATATATTAACCAAAAATGTATCAAAATATGTTATTTATTTTCATTAATGCTTTCATGTTAGTATTACTTGAGCACAATTAGAATTAAAAAAACAAATGTTTCAATTACATTTATTTAAAAAAAAAATTTTTGCTCAGAGTATTGTGTCACTGCTGATTTGTATATTTGAAATTGCTGCACATACTCCATCTGTGTGTACAGATTTAAACACTTGGTGTATTGTTTCAAAGCTGAAAATGGAGAATAAAGTCAACATCACAAAAAGTGTGCAGGCACACTTTGTATGCATGTACAGGTTCCTGCAGAGACTGATGCAGCTCTAGGCAGGCTGCAAGGAAAAGCATTATTTGTATTCGGAGAACACGTCGCCTTCTTCATCGCTGTGTCAAATTGCCATATTTTGTGGGGGCATTTTTACAACGTCCAATCACACACAGACAGGCTGCAGTATGCATCAAGCCTCCCTTCATCTCTCCGATCTGTCACTTCCCCTGGAGAGCAGCAACAAAGACGGAGTGTGAGATGTAGAGTAGCTGGCTGGTAGACGGGCTAGGATGTCATGGTGACTCAGGAAATGGACACAAAACCTGGCAGCATTGTGTTTTCCCCCCCCCCCCTTTTTTTTTTTTTCCGCCATTTTCTAATTCAACACATGACAGACAGGAAACACTAACAGAAACATTCTGAATGAAGGAGAAGAAATCATGTGACCCGTCGGTCGAAGACATGCCAGTTTCAAAACTCAGAATAGACACACCTGAAGGCTGGACGGGCAACTTCAGGAGGCAACGCTGCAACAGAGTAAAACCTGACTGTTTGCTTGTAGGAAAGGAAAAAAAGCAGAGCTCCTGATAAAGCTGCACATATTTTTCTGCCTCTGAAAGTTGCAGGTTTGTTGACTTGCAAAAGTATTGAAACGCGTTGAAGTTTTCCACGTGTTGTCACGACACGACAGGAAACTTTTAATGTGTTTTGACCAACACAAAGTAATGCAGGATTGTGAAGAGGAAGGGTTGGGTTTCTAATTTGTGTAGCTGAAAAGTGTGGCGTGTATTTGAATTCTGTATTCAATACACGTGTATTTGAGAGCACTAATCAGATAAGCAGAGGAGCTGCAGAGATCAGGAGGGAAAAAAGTCAGAGGATATCAAAACTAACACACCATATGGACACATGGTGGTGTACCACTTTGTGTTGGTTTATAACATAAAATCCAAATGAAGTACATTAAAGTTAGTGATATTAACATGACAAATGGTGAAAACTGTTCAAGGGGTTTGATTACTTTTGCGAGGCACTGAAAGTTGCAGCCTTCTGGGTCAGTGTAACACGTCCATGCCCTATTTTTATGCAAATGAGGTGCTTCAGTATCCATGTTAGAAATTGGATGTGAAGAAGTTACAGTTTTGTAATGAGATATACAAATTATTATACACTGGTTTCTGTGAGAGGCTGATGCCAGCAATGCTTCAGTGGATTTACTTTGACTGTTCCATAACGCCGCAACCCCATATTAACCAGTTTAAAGCAGCAGGTTCTGAAAAGCTGTTCCAAACTCAGCGTAGTGCAGTTTCTTTTTTTCAATGTCAGCTCTGAACATTGGTCTTTTTTTTTAAAAGACAACCCCCATGAAATCCCGTTCCACCCCATCTTTATCTACTCTCCCACTCTCCAGTCCTAAAATAACTTTATACAAGCTGATGAAACTTCACAAGAATTCACCATGAAAACAAAAGATCGCACAGAGTCGTGTCGCTATGTCCAGCCATTAGGAACAGCACACAGATTCCCTTATGTCACTGGGATAAACACGCTCTCAGTCACACACTCACATGCACTCATATACAGCACACAGATGCATCTCAATAAACCAAAACATCATCAAAAAGTCATTCATTGTAATAAATGGACTCAAAAGTAAGTTTTATCACAGATTAATTGTGCACAGAAATATATTTCAAGCAATTATTTATGTGAATTTTAATGACTATGGATTTCAGCTATTATAGTTTTTCCTTCCACTCAACTTTCCATTAAAATGCTTGGAAATAATGCTCTGAACAGCCAGCTTCAGAGGGTCTAGCTAACAAAGAGTCAGCTGTTTTAAATGATAACATAACATTTTGGTATAATTTTTGTAAAATTCACACTTAATGAGAGAATACAATCTTCAAAACCACATCTGGTCAAGCATATAATCTAAAAGTTGAGTGGAAGGTGAAAAAGCCAAAATCCTAAATATGAACAGGAACAAATGCTTTAAAATTCTCATCGTGTGCATATTGAATCTATTAAATATACAGCAGTGGAAAACATTTAGAGACCAGCCTCTCTGATTTCAGTTTTTATAGGTATGTGTTTGAGAAAAATTAACATTCTTCTTTTACTTTATGAACTATTGACAACATGTCTCTGAAATTCCAACACAAATTTAGTATTTATTTGCAGAATATTAGAAATGGTAAAAAAAAAAATAAAAAATCCCAAAAGAGACAGAGCTTTCAGACCTCAAATAATGCAAAGAAAATAAATTTATGTTAATTTAAAAACAACAATACTAATGTTTTAACTCAGGAAGAGTTCAGAAATCATTATTTGGTGGAATAACAATGAGTTTTTTAATGGGGTTCAGTGCAGTGGGCTCTAATTTCTTTTTCCAGAGCTGTATATCAACCAACAAATTATTGTCTTAAATGAACTTTTCCGTGACGTTTCTAATTTATTGACAGGCGCCTGCGTGAATACGTAGGAGCAAATTCCTAAGGGAGTCAAAGACAGGAAGCAGTTATCAGTCAGGCTTGTGTTTCTATTGCATCAAGGCTCATCAACGCATCCCTCTGTTGCCAAACAGCGTGTTTAATCGTGTTGTTGGGTTAAAACCGCATTTTTAGCTTCCAAAGAACCGAGGATGTATTCAGAGAACAGGTGTGCAGGCGCAGCGTGGAGGTCTGAGAGTCCGAAGTTTGACTGATCAATCGTGGATGACGATGGGGCCCCGCATCCTCAAGCTGGGGTGTGGGTGTGGAGGGGCCAGGACAAGCCCCTGCGGGGGTCCGTGGGAGACCCTGCGCAGGGTGATTTGCTCGCAGGGCTGTCGACAGGCGTGCCTCAGCTGGGAGCGGGACAGCAGCCGTCGCGCCCTCCTGGATGGGAGGAGACGACAGGAGGTATCAGGCAGGAGGAAGAGTTAAAAAATACTGTTGAAATGTAAAAATAATCAGCCACAGATATTTACATGTTTTAAGCTTCTTCTTCTTCTTCTTCTTCTTTTTATTTTTTTTACTGTCTTCATCTATACGTAGTCACATTCAATAAATTAGAATGAGGCTTGTTTGTCAGACTAAAAGTACCTTTTGAGAATATGTATTAAACATACTTTTTATTAAGGTTACTTTTCTGTATTAAACATATTTTTATTAATCTGATCTTAAATGTCTTGTTTTCATAAACCTTAAGTGGAAAAACATCATAATTAACAGAAATACAAGTTTGAAAACATCAATCTATGTGAGAAGACTATAAAATGTGTTTTCTTTGGTAAAATGAGTCACTGGAATAAATTAACTTTTAAATAATATTACAACTTATTGAAAATGGATGGATGGATGGATGGATGGATGGATGGATGGATGGATGGATGGATGGATGGATGGATGGATGGATAGATGGATGGATGGATGGATGGAT